GTTTCTGTATGTACTGAGATTTGGTTTAGAAGTAGTTTAAAAATATGTTTTTGAGCATCTATGAAAATATGGGTTTGCAACTCTGCACTTCCAGCATGAAGAAAGTCATTGCAACAGGGTAGTGGGATTTCTCTGACTCTTTCACAAAGCTTTTGATTTAAGAAATTAAATAATTAGTAGAACAGATGTTTCTAGAGGAAAAAAAATTGAAATGCAAGTCCTTACAGCACTCTGTAAGCATGCAAATGAGAAAGACATTGCACAGCTGACATCTGGACATGAATCACCCCTCAGGAAACCTCTCTAACTAAAGAGATCCAGCACAAGAGCCCGCAGTTGGTGGCAAGTCGAAGGTGAGTGCACACAATGACAAGGACTTGATCCAGTTCCATTGAAACCAATTAAGAGGTTCCCTCAAAACTGCTGATGGCTTTCAAGCAGCTTTCAAGCTATAGACTGAAGTTAGAAAACCCTCCCAGCTTTTCACTTACAAGAATCTAGTATTTATAACTAGACTTCTGTATCAGAAAGGTGGTGCCTACTTGGGGTCAGATTGTCACTCCTTTGCAAGGTATAAGAGCCAAAAATAACTGGTTTGAGAGGCACATAAAGCTACCAGCATCAGTCTGCTCCACAACAGCTACCCTGCCCATCACTTCAAATCAATCTAGAAGCTCCCTCGAAGCAGATTTTTAAAGGTCACTGCGCATACACTGACTTGGGCACTTACAGCTACAATTAACAGTTCTACTAAATGGGTTTATGAGGACTGAAGCCCACAAAGAAAACATTCGTACACGTCACTGCCATTCAGTTCAAGCCCATCTGCACTACAGACTCATGCTGCAGCTGTTCACCTTGTTTTGATGGGGCTGGATTTAAAGCCAAGCCAGGATCTATAACTCATTGACAGCAGCAGCTTAAAATAAGCCATCCACCTGCTTTGACTACCTAGGAAGATCAAAGAGCAATTCTCCTATTCAGACAATCAAACCGGAGACATGTTTATTGCTACAAATTGCAAGAGAAGCCAGACTTTAAAGGTATGTAGTTCTCATCCCCAGAAGAAAGGCAGCTTTTTCACGAGGGAGGCTCCTTGAGAGCATCAAGTCACCTGCTAGGCAAGAGGATTTGAAGTGGCCCACCCTTACTTCACATGTATATTGACAAACGTCTTCTGCTAAAAGACCTCCAGTACCACAGCAAGACACACTGCTTTCCATTTACCAAGCTAATTTGCTGCCATGAGAATTTAATTATGTGAAGGAATGAAGAGACGCTTCTGGTAGCATCCACACTGTTAAACACAAACATCCCAAGAGGCGCAACTACTTCCCAAGGAACACCCAGAAGTCAGTAAAATAAGGAACATACCTACAACTAATAAACATGTGGTGCTATGCTGCTTTTTTGTTGCTCCAACAGCTGTATCTAATCATCACAGCTGTACATGGTATTTAAACAGAATCTGAGTAAGGACAGAATAGACATTGTTCCCTACCTAAGGGAAGCACAGAGCTGCACAAAGATGAACAGAGTCGAGGGTTACACTGTCAGAGCAGAACAGCAGTAAGTAATATGACAAGAATAGTATAAAGAGGCAGGTTTACATCCTGAATACAGGGTCAGGATACTTGAAATTATATGAATGAGTAAGCAACACCATGAAGGTAAGTCTTGCCAACATTTTGTATGGATAGAGTGAGAGAGTTAGAGTGGGAAAAAAGTAATCTTTCTGTCTTGCCCAGGATTCACTCCAGTATGTCCATGTCCTTCTTGTTCTGCGGGCCCAAAACTGGATTCAGCATTCCAGTTGTGCTGAATGCAGAGGAAGGATCACTTTCTTTCACATGCTGGCAGTGGTCTTCCTAGTACAGCCCAGGATGCTGTTGGCCTTTTTCATTGTGCGGGTATATAGCAATATAATAGATAGATGATAGGTAGATGATAAGTTTCTTGCTCCCAAAGACCTCGAGGCCCTTCCTTGCCAAGCTACTCTCCAGCCCCCAGAATGTACTGACAGCCAGAATTATTCTTATCCATGTAAGACTGCATTTCCTGTTGTTGAGCTCTATGAGATTCCCCTCTGCCCAGTTCTCCAGTCTACCAAGGTCCCTCTCAGTGGCAGCACAACCTTGCTGTTGTACAATATGTGAACTTGCTGTAACTGCACTCTGCTCCACCATCCAGGTTGTTAATGAAGAACCTCAACAATACTGGCCTCATTATCATTCCCTGAAGTATAATGTTAGTGAACTTGCTTCCAGTTTGATTTTGTGCCACGTATAACAACCTCTGGACCCGATTGTTCACATAATTGTCTCACTGTCCATTTATTTATCGCATACTTTGTCAGCTTGTCTTGTTAGAACGTTGTGAAAGACAGCATTAAAACCCTATTACAGCCAAGGTAAACAATGTCTCACTGTTCTCCATTCATGCAGCAAGGAAAGGCAACTCACTGTGGAAGGTTATCAAGTTGGTTAAGCGTGACTTCCCTCTGTAAGTGCATGGTGGCTTCTGATGACTTTTTGCCTTTACTGAGATTGGAAATGGTATCCAGGATTGGTTAATCCATCATCTTCCCTAGGGCTCAACTGAAACTGGTTGGCCTGTTGCTCTGCTGATGTTCTTTTTTGACTTTCTGGAAGATAGCTGTGACACTGGCTCTCTTCCAGTCTTGAGCATTCCCAATTGCCATGGCCTTTCAAAGACTATCACGGGTGCACTCCCAAAGACATCAGTAAGCTTTGTCATTGGTGGAGTATGTAAGGCCTATTTGTGTTGGAAAGGTAGAATCAGAAAGGAATTATAAATGTGACTCCTTAACCAGAGCTTAGTCTTAGCTAAGGCTAAGGGAGAAATACAAATGAAAGCACAGTTTGAATAATTCAAAGAAACAGGGCTGGTATGCCAGAACACATTCTTCCCCCCAATAAAACTAAGCTGAGACCCCTCTCCCCAGCCTTGTAAGGAAAGGTCTGAAGGACCCTGAGATAACTAAAAATATTCAAAAGCAGCAATTTCTATAGGTTGCACACAAATGTTACTGTATTAGTGTACTTATAAAGATTGGTTAGTGAAGGAATAGAATATTCAATGTATAGATTATATAAATAATTGTAAAGGAGAGCTCGGCCTCTTTTTCCGGCTCTCTCACTTCTATTCTGTTACTCTCTTTCTTAGCTATCTTAAGTCTTAAACTCATGTATTCATATTCTACCCCCTTTTGTATTGTTCCCTCTGAGCCTGCTTTGAGCTTCATCTGCTGGCTCCTAGCAGGGTTCTCTCACCCATGCCCTGAAATAAACTACTAACATCTAACTCGACTGTAGAGGTCTCTGCCATGTCCCAGACTGTCCACGCCCCGAAGTATCTCTTACATATTTGTTTATGTGCTCCTTAAGCTGGTCCTTTTCAACCTGGGAAAAGTTTATTTTCTCCAATTTCTCTGGTTCAGCCTATTCCTCTGGTTGCAGAGCCTTGAGATTCTTGAATGGAATAAAACATTAAGAATGTTTTATTGCAACAGACCTAATAAGGTGCTCCAAATTTACACATAATCCAAGGTGGACAGTTTGATTTAGGTGCATACAAATCCAGTGTAGAGATAGGTGTCTTTCTGATAGTTGAAACAGTAGCATGTGACTCCCATGGATCATTACTTCACAGTCAGAAACACAAAAAAAACTAAAACTAGGTTTTTCATGCCTTACCATTTGTTTTCTTAAGAACATCTGCTTTGATAAAAGGAGTCAGAGGAAATGCACAGAAAAAATCTTATATGTTGCATTTCCATAAAAATGGTGAAGTCAGCATTTTTGTGGAGCTCTGAGAGGTGTATGAAATAATAAGGGATAATGTGCTTGAAGGGTCCCTTTTAGTTCTTGATATAAAACTCATTCATTAACAGGAAGAAAAAGCCCTGTGTAGGGACAGAAGAAAAAATTACCTATTTGTAGGTGTTTCTGGAACACATTTGCAAGCCAGGTCATTGATTCGCCTTTTCAGGATAAAGGCTTATTACCAAAAACAAATAAAAAAATTATCATCTAGAACTGCTGAAGCCTGCAAGAAGCCTCAAATTCCTGCCTTATTAAATTTGCTTGATATGCCAGCAAGGGAGATGACTGATGTTCTGTGAGGCCACTCAATCATCTTTGAAATGCCAATTGGGAGGGTTCCTTAAGTCTGAATAAGGGAAATTCATATCTTCAAGAACAAGTTTACAGAAAAACATTTTGAATTCCTCACTAGTGAAAGATTAAACAGAATCTCTGATTCCACAAAGCAATGTCATGTACATTTGACTTTACAGTTTCTTGCTGTAGAATGTGCTGCATGTGAAGTTCTTATATCCAGAGCAAGAATTGTCAGATTGCCTGACAGAACTGTCCTGAGAGAAAAATGAGTTTTCCACAGATGATAACTTCCTAGCCTGCCTCATCAAACTGATTGCAACTGTGTAGGTAATAAGCATCATTCTGTCCTATAATCTCACGCTCATCTTCTCTGGCATAACTGAAGAGACCTATTTAATTTAAAACAGAAATTTTAAATTCCCCAACACCATCAGAAGTACTCAGTGAAAAATTTTATTTTGGTAGTATGAAAATGCATTCAGTAAATTAGTTTCCAGTCAAGTTTTCTGGACAATCCGTATTATATCTTTGTTGTCCAGTTTGGATTCCCAAGGCTACTTCACACTACTTTGTCTTGGTAGTATTTTAGTATCACTTTTGAATGTAGAACTTCTGCAACTCCTAATGTAATAAAAGTAATTGAACTATTAGCAAGTAAGCTACCAGTTCTTTAATGTGTTACAGTCCTATCGACTTCCTTAGAAACAATGAAGCAGTGGCCTTTTCTGGATTTGATTTACAGACACAAAGGCATTCCGTGAGGTGCAGAATGAGTATTTCACCTTGCCCAAACCCAACACAAGTCACAAAAATTTGAGAAGAATCTGACTACATAAAAACAACTCACGCAAAGAAATATAAATGAAAGTAGCTCTTTAATTGTATTTCTGCTGTAAACTACTTTTCAAAGTGTGATTTAAATATTTTTTAATGGTTTAATTGAACCTGAAATAAGTGACAGACACTTGAAATACAGGGATTATTGAAGCACATACTGAGTAGAAGTCACTGCAGACTGTTGCAACGTAAGGAAGTTAAGAAGGCTAAGGCAGAAGGGAAAAGCCATTCTTTATTGACAGGGATTTTTTTTTTACATTTTTAATTAATTGCCATTTTTAGAAGAACTTTTTAAGTTGACTGTATGGAAAACTGGGTAGTCAAGAGCTTTTTGAAGCTCTTTTGAAGCTCTTGGATCTGCCAAGATTTTCTCATTTCCCTCCTGAAACAGCAACAGGTTTATGATTTCCATACAGAAGGTGAGGTATTTCACCACTTTCCCCTGTCTAAGTGTCAAAGTAATCTACATTCTGAACACATAGAAAGCACCCATTCAGCTGCCTTATCACAAAATACATTAACTTGACTTTTTTTTTTTTTTTTTTTTTTTTTTTTTTTTTTTCCCCTGGGTAATCAAGGCAGTAGCATCTATGCGAACGGTTATTTTTCTGGTCAGAGTTCAGTTTTCATTGTAACACTTGCAAGTGTTAGTGATCTATTTCCCTGCAACAGCACACCTAGACTCTGACCTGCTGAAAGAAAGCAACTGGATCCAGAGGGAAGACGTGCCTCTTAGAGTGGGAACTTGTGACTAACATGTACAAACCAGCTGGGAATGGGTTTGGCTATGACCTCAGTCCACAGACAGTAGTGATGAGCAAGCAGGTCAATGGTGAGCGATGTCAGCCAGGCAGGCCAGGAGGCTGAGATGCAGACTGGCACTCCCACAGCTCCACCGAGGCAGGACTGACAGCCCCAAGCTAAGCTGACAAAGAAACATTCTGTTTATTCTCACTGTTTTGTGTGTCACGGGTTTCTGCATCACACACTTCTCAACTGCTCCTCTGACAACAGATGTATTATTTCTGTCCTATGGCTCTCCCTTATGCCTTTTATAATTGCATGGAGGCTTCTTAAACTAATAATTTACATTTACACACCTCTCAGAAAAGTGAGAGTATTAGACCTCTCCCTCTCTGCCCTCAATTTACAGAGTGTAGCCTCCTCCCTCCTCTGCTCCTACAGAGTAGAACTGAAGTACAACCAGATTAGAGTGGATGGTGTCTACTTATTCCAAATGCCAATTCAGAGATGCTAAAGACCAGATATTTTTATATAGGTATTGTGTTAGTTCGGCACACTTCTCATACTGATTTGTAACTCCAATAATTCAATAGATCTGTAATCTAAACAATAATGCCTTGAATAAGCCAGTTATAAGAATTCAATTTGACAATTAGGTGTGAAAAACTTATTTTACTGACTAGCCCAGTGTCATCAAGAAATTTGGTGGCAAAACCAGTGACTCAGAACTGCCTGATATAGGGACCAGCTTTCTCTTCCCTAAAGCTTTGGTCACTGTTTCCCTGCTGTCTTGTGAAACATAGAATATACAGACTAGGACAATCATCTCCACTATAACTGGTACTGAGGCAAGATTGCTCTTGAGGGGGATATTTTACAGACTGTTCACTAAGTATGCTGAAAGAGGCAAAAATGACTGAAAAATTAATAAAACTAGCCTCTGACATTTGAGGGTTGTATTGCCATAGACATGTGTTTTGTGCCATAGCCCTGATCATGTGTGTTGTCAAATCAAAAACTGCAAGCCAGTGCACCCCAGTGATACACACAGGGATGGAGCATAGAGATCTCTGTTCCTTCAGCTCAGGAAATAACTGAAGGAGAGAAGATGCAGAATGAGGTAGAAAATATACTGATGGTACGCCTCTGGCTAAATTCTAAATATTTACTAATTTTGAAGATCTTCTAACAGATCATAGTCCTTCACTTGTGATTTTTAGGGGGAAAAAAGATGTTTAATATCATCTGCCTTCTTCTCAAATAGACCCCTTATTTATAGCCCCATTTGTCTCATATTACTCATATCACTAGGGAAAGGCTCTTTGAGTTTCATGACTCAGTCTCCTCAGCTGCTATTTCCAGCAGTATTTCTTATGAAACCAGTATCCTTCAAGTTCCCCTTTCCCCCAACTTTCAGTCCAGCTTCTTATGCTCCTCAGATTTTTGGGCTTCACAGCATTCTCAGCAATCCACTGGCCCAGTATCAGCCAGTACCACTTTATTCTGTCACTCTTCCCTAGTTTCTCCTTATATCTTTTCCCTTCTAAATCCCTTCTTGCCTCTGTAACCCTTAATCACTGTCTGTCAGTAAGAGCTGTCTCATTCACATCATCCCAGTCACCCTTCCCGAATATTGTACGCAATCTGCATCTCTCAGACTTCATGTGGAAGTTATTTAAACAGTTACTTAATCTCCACAAGATCTGGTGAAAGGACAAGTCAATCCATGACTGTAATTTACTGAATTGTTCGCACATCTGGATTCATTCTGAGTACACAGGCTTGTTATTAAAGTTGCATGAGAAAGTTGGTCAGAGCAAAAGGGAAACATGCTGGTGTTAGCTTGTCATGACTTGTATGAAAACTAAAATCCAGATGTTGGGCTGAAAAAAAGAAAATCTACAGAAATCAAGTTCTTTCTGTCACCACAAGGAGATATACTGCCTGTCACTATTCTCTGGATGGCCCAATAAAAAAATTAGTAAGAAAACTTATGCTAACATTGCTAGTAAGAAAACTAAAGTTAACATTGCAAGGCCGCAAGAACTGGTGGGCTGTTATGTTTGTTATTAGTCTGAGTGAATTTACTCAGTGCAAACTGAAGTTGAGTACCAGGTGTCTTTTGTTAGGATGTAGAGTTTAAGCGTGGGATAATACCAGAGACCTTGAAAATACATCCACAGGCTAAAAACAGGCCACGAGACAATAAAGATCTCACTAGCAGACAGCTTCTGGTTCTTGAGGAATTCTAATCTTAAGTGCTGAGAACACTGCTTTAGACATAACAAGGAGGACAAGGAAGCAATCAAACAACAAGTGCACGTGGTATATGCACTGTTTATGAATAAGACAAATAAACAATGTATTTAGTTTAGTATGTAAATATGCATGGGAAGTTAACACCCCTAGAATTGCCGAGTATATTATCCAAGGAAAGGAGACCAGAGAATTAAAATTCACTGACAAAATCAAGCATTTTTTTGAAATTTACTAGAATTTGATATTTAAAAGGAATTCCTGCTGGCAAATGGTTGTCATCACTTGATCATCATGGAATTTTCTTTCTAAAACCTATGTCAAAGCTGCAAGCACATCATCTGTTTCAAGGACCAAGGCTCTTCAAATGTCTTTTATCATGCCAGTCAAGTTTTAGGGCAGTATAGAAGTCTGTGTCTGAGTTCATAAACTACATGCGCTTGTTGTCTCAAGTTCTGTAATTCCTGAGTAAAGCATTACTGGACATAAATTATGTTTGCCTAGCATGATAACTATCAGTGTGACAACCATCACACTGACCAGCCCTGTAATGGTCAAGCAACTGGACTAAACAATCACTGTAGGTCTCTTCCAGCTGTAAGTATTCCACTGTATTCTATATATGCTTCTCATTATTGTCTGTAACTATATCCATTAAATCCTCAGTGTGAATTGGCTCTCCCACTGCAACAGAACCAAGGTTTTACACATCGCACAGAAACACTGACTTTCACAGAATACAATGTTGGAATTGTACTTCATTAGGAAGTGTTAGGGAGTGTAAAACTGCCTCGGTTGCAATTGCTCAAAGTTTCTGTACTATTATTATTTGTTTCTTATTTTCGTGCTTTACATTAGGAATACACACACACACATACATACATACATATATATATGTATGTCACTCTCTATCATCTTACCTTCAATTCTACTGCTTTATTACTGAATAATTAGAAGCACAGGTGCTCAATCTTCTGTTGTTTTTAGGCTATAATATGCAAAGTGTTACTCTGTCATTGCAAAATTACTCCATAAGTTAATTACTTGTGTTCTGGAGGCATTTTTTTCCTGCTTCTTTATCTGATGAATGAACAAGGAACTTGCCCCAGGAAAGAAGGGTGTGTATGTTCTGTGGAGCTGGTGATAGGAAGAACCTAGAGCACTTAAGGAGCTACAAGAACAAGCTGGGGTTTTGACCTCAAGCCACGTAGTTTAGTTGAAGAAATGTCTCATGGGGTAGGTTGTATATTAAAGTGTAAATTAAAATTCAATGACACATAACACACTAGAGGCTTGCTAAAAAAATTACGACTAAGAAACACTGAGCTGCTTTTTCAATCAGCAAACTTTTGGGGTAAATTTCATTATAATTACATACAGTGTTTGTATGTATGCAGTATTAAGGTTACATTCACAAACTGTTTTGCATAGCCAGTATTAAGTGTCAGGTGTTTTCATAAATTGTTAATTTTTAGTATCCTAAAGTTCAACAGACTACAGTATGGCTTTCAACTCTGTGTAATTCCTGAAATTATACTGTTATAGCCCATATGGGGTACATCAGTAATACCTGCAGTTTCAACATTCTGGTTTTTCACTGGAAAATTTTCATAAAAACATTAAGTATGCATTATGCATTGCATAGATGCAGCCTTCTTTATAGGGACTGTATTTTACTCAGATCTCTTTCTGTAACAGTCGTTCAGCACCCCTAAAAAAGCTATGCCTGCGTTTGAGTCCACCTGTGACTGCAGTCAAAGTAATTGACCAGTAGAAATGGTTAGTATGAGTTCTGTTGTCAGGAAACTTTCTCGTCTTTGAGACAGCCTCAGGCAACTGACCTGCTTCTGGAGAACTGGCTGATTTTATACAGATACAAACATTTTATATGGTCTCCAATTCTTAGTCACACAAAGAAAAAAAATTATATTTATACAGTGCTCTCACCATAATTTACAAAACTCAGTCCTTTGTAAAAGACAGCATGCTTTTCAAGAGCCACTGGCATATTGCAGTATATCGCTCATCAGCGCCATTTCTAATTTGAAACTGAGACAATTTCTTAGGCTATCTCTCATGCAGTTCTACACAGCTTAGAGTCTGCTGGTTGTGTTCAATCAGTCACTGCAGTCTGTCAAAAGGATGCAGCTCTCCTTGGGGAAGAGTCAATACCAGCAAAAAGAATTACCGTACCATTATACTGTACCATAACTGCGGTACTAACACTGTGTATCAGTGAGGCCTTGAGACTCAATTCAGCTTCATATCCCTCACCAAAACAAAACAAAACAAAAAACCATCAGACATGTACCATAAAATCGTAACTATTGAAATTACTGACTTTTAGTTCCATTAAAAACCTCACGGATGGGCCCAGAATGTCACAAGTGTACTTGCATGTCAGTCAATTAATTAAGTCAGGAAATTAATCTCAGAAGTGGCCTCAGCCATTGCTTCACATTTTGCCATTTAATTCCATGTATCATGGGAAGTTTTGTCGGATCCAAGTCTCCACAACTCCTGAAAGGAGAATGTAGTAGTGTGGCGGGGGTCGGTCTCTCCTGCCGCTCCTGCAGTGAGAGGACAAGAGGAAATGGCCTGAAGGTGAGACAGCGGAGATTCCGATAGGATATCAGAACAAGAAATTGTCATGTCAGGGTGGTCAGGCACTGGAATAGGTTTCCCTGGGAGGTGGTGGAGTCACCATGCCTGTAAGTTTTTAAGGACCTGTTGGGTGGAGCACCCACTTGGTGCGTGTTGCCCGGGAAGCCGCTGCCGTGGCGGCGAGGCCGAGGGGCGCGACAGGAACCGCTGAGGGCGCGGCGCCCCCTGCCGGTCAGGAGGTGGCCCCAGGGCAGGGAGTCCTCGCCCACCGGCGGAGCCGATTGGCTGCGGCTGGGAGGAGGCGGGGTGAGGCAGGGAGCAGCGGCGCTGATTGGTTGCGGCTGGGAGGAGGCGGGGTGAGGCAGGGAGCAGCGGC